GTCCCGAGGAGGCACTCGCTGCTATGCCTGGCTGGGCTGTGGCTGGTGCCGCCAGTGCTGCAGCTGGGTCGCGCCTCCTCCTCGCAGCCGGGTGTGGCGTGCGTCCTCTGGTGGGGTCCTGACTCCCCTCCTCCTCTGACGATTCCTCCTTCACACCCGCTGTCTTTGCCATCTGATCTCTAGTTTCCCTCAGCAGGGTCTTGTAGACTCTGATGGTTCTGGCGGCCGCCGCCTCCTGGTCGAGCATCTTGCTGAGCCGCTTCTCCATCTCGGTGTGCTCCTCCTCCAGCTTTTCCAGCGTAGCCCTGAGCTGCTTCATGCGCTCTTTGTGGGGCAAGACGAAGGAGATGTTCGTGGCGGTGGTCGCCGCTTCCTGCTCGAGGCTTGATGCGCACAAACCCGCCAGCCTAGCGCCAGCAATGTTTTCGGAGAGGCGTCCCAGCCTGTGGCACTTCGTCTTGTACCACACGAACCGCATCTCCTCGTCGTCTGGTGGTGCGGGCCAGCTCTCATGTTCCATCGCAACGGCGAAGGAGACTGGCGTGATGCTGTCCAGGACTGCCTTCTGCTGCGGGCTGTACTGGAAGCTGCCGATGTAGGCTGAGGCTGGAGCGTCGTGCTGGTCCCTCCTTCTGCGCCTGCTGTTCCTCCTTCTGGCTGAGGCGCTCCTCCATGGCGCACTGTGCTTCCAGTGCTGGGCGCTGTCGCTTCGCTGCTGATGCTGTGGGTGCTTTTGCTGGTGCTGGTGTTGGGCTGGCTGGTGTTGGTGCTGGGTCTGAGGCTGCTGCTGCTGCTGCTGCTGCTGCTGGCTGTGCTGCCGCCTCTGCGCGTTGTGCTGCTGGCCATCCCCAAGGGCCCACTCCCAGGGTCGCCCTCCGATGGCTCCGTAGTCACCAGTCCAGTCACTGGCACTGCTGCTGCGCCTGTGCTGGCGCTGCGCCTGGGCTGTGGACCCTGCTCCTGTCCACCTTTTCCCAGGGCCGCGCTGCGGCGCCTCGAGGTGTGTGGTCCCTGCTCCTGACCACCTTCCCCTCGAGGCGCCGCGCTGCTGCTTCCAGTTTTGCGTGCTGCTGGTGGCGCTGGGGCTGCTGCGCGCTGTGGTGCTGCTCCAACCTGCTGGCAGCAGCCGCCAGTCTGATCAGCAGCCGATCTTGTCCTCTTTGGGTCCTGGCGCGGCGGTGCCAGGCTTCTTCCTTAGTCTTGGGCGTGGCGGTCGGGGTGACCGCCGCGGCTGCGGCGCCTCTTTATCTTCTCTTTGATGGCTCCGCGGCGCGCGAGCCACGACCGAAGGGGCGACCGACGACGAGCGAAGCCGCGACGGTCCCAGCCCCTCCTCGGCCGTATGGCTTCCTCCTCACCCTCCTCCTCCTCCTCCTGGCTCCCACGGGACTACTCGTGTGGGTACCCCTTCAACTTCTGCTCAAGAGCGACGAAGGGCAAACGATGTCTGTCGCCGCAGCGCGCATTGGAATTGGCACACGACGTGCCTCGGCATTGCGCGTCTTCTGCTGCATGTGTGATCCCGCGGTTCCTCAACAGCGTGATACGCGATGCCAGTTATTTGGGGCGGAAAAGAGGGGGGTGATGACTAGGGGGGTGGATATCATTGCAGGGGGCATGATATTTCCCCATATCTCATGGCGCCTCTTCTTGTTTTAATGCGTCCCTGGCCCCCCCGCTGGGCCGCGCACATGCCGCTGGTCATGATTTGCACCCCCCCCTCTTGGACACCCCCCTCTTGGCCCCTCCCGAAGTTCCGAGCGCTTGACAACAGAATGAGCCGTAGTCGGCGACCTTTGGCAATTGGCCGTTCGCTGATCGGGATGCCGAACGCCGGGCTGCACCGCCTCCGCTGTACAGCAGTCTCCTCGTATCTTCGCCCGCGCATCGCGAGCACGCATTCTTCATACCGTGCTCGCAAGGTGCTACGTCTAGTGGTTGGCCTCGGCGTTTCGTGTGTCGTCTCGTTGCATGCCGAATGGCATTGGTCGAAGCAGAGACCTGCGGAATCGTGTTTCGCAGAGTGTCATGAGTGTATTGTGTCTCGCATCTTTCTTTCACGAAGGCGACAGTGTTCGCACGCATTCGTTCGCGTCTTCAGTCCCGTCTTGACGGTCGAAGCGCCCGCTTGATCGCAGTCGAAGTTTGCCCCCCTGCGAGTGTTTCGCACTGACTTCAAGAAGCGACGCGTGTTTCGGACACCAGCGGGGGCGTGATCATTCGACCACGTTGGCCTTGGCTGCCCGATACGCCCGTCTTGAAACGCAGCACGTACCGTGTTCAACACGTCCGTGCTAACACGTTGCGTGTTGGTTCCACGTGTTGGCCCACGTCTTGGCGACCGTGCCGCGCCAGGCGTACGTCCTCGATCCTCGATCCTCGATCGTCCTCCTTTTCCTCATCCTCCTCCGCCTCCTACTCCTCCTCGATCCTCGATCGTCCTCCTCCTCCTCCTCCTCCTCCGCCACAGGGCCACCATGGTCGATCGTTCGACCATAGTGACCCTCTGGCCTTCTCGTGCAGCAGCAGGGGCGGCAGCACGCTGTGCAGACCCTGCGCCAGAGACCCGGCAGCCCTGGCAGCGCGCGACACGGCGTGGCACGTCCGACTCGCATATCACAGGGGAGGAACATGAGGAGGAGGAGGAGGAGGAGGAAGCAGATCGCGACAGTCTCGTCCCTTACGTTGGTCTATCGTAAAAGGAGGAGGAGGAGCAGGAGGAGGAGGAGGAACGACGCAACAAGCTCTCGCTTGATGTATGGCCAACGTCACAATGGAGGAGGAGGAAGAGGAGGAGGTGGAGGAGGAGAAGGAATATGAGGAGGAGGGGGAGGAGGAGAAGGAGGAGCTGGAGGTCGACGACGACGGCAGCGACGGTGAGGACGGCGGCGGCGGCGACTGACGCCCCGAGGTAGCCCCCGGCAGCGCGCGCCCGGCTTGGCGCTCGCCCGTGTCAGAGCCCCGAGTCATCAGGGTTCGGGGCGGTCAGGGGCAGCTACAGATTCGCGCCTCGGGGTCCCAAACCGGGGTCACCCCGGACCGCAGCTATATATCCCAGATAATTCGGGCGCCCAACCCTCCCGAATCGTCAGGGCTGGGGGCAGTCAGGGGTAACTACAGATTCGCGCCTCGGGGGCCCAAGCCGGAGTCACCCCGTACCGCAGCTATCCCAGATAAGTCGAGCGTTCAATAGTGAGGAAGCGTCTTGGTCTGCCTACAGGCCCACCCTGGTCAGGAATCGTGCAGCCAGGGGAAATCCATGAATACAGACGTGGTTTCATTCGTAGTTTTGAGGCGTTCGGCCAAGGCCAGATGCGGATTGCGATTTTGCGGCAGAAGTTTGTGAAATTATTGCAGATGAAGCTGCCCAAGGTTCAGAACCGTGCAACAAATCATATCAGCGATCACGCGGATGGGGCGTGATGAATCCATCGACTTTGTTTTCGAGCCGAGGCTCACGAGAGCGCCAGGAAGGTTGACTGTCATCTAAATTTGCACCCCAGTTGCCCCCCTCGTTTGCCCTCCAGAGGAGGTGGAGAAGGAGGAGAGGAGGAGGAGGAGGAGGAGGAGAAGAAGGAAGAGAAGGAGGAGGAGGAGGAGGAGCAGGATGAGGAGGAGGAGGAGGAGCAGGAGGAGGAGGAAGAGAGGAAGGAGGAGGAGGCGGAGGAGGAGGAGGAGAAGGAGGAAGAGAAGGAGGAGGAGGAGGAGGAGGAGGAGGAGGAGTTCCAGGATCTCCGCCATCACGTTGTGAGATCGAGCATGCGACGCCCCCTTGTCCTTGAAGACGCTCAGGACGACAAGGCAGACGAAGCGCCCGAACAAAAGGAACAACCTCACGACTACTGCATGCCACCACTGAAAACCGTAGCGCCCTTTGACAGTCATGCAAAGACTGCCGCCGAAAGAAAGAACGTGACAAAACCCAGCCCACCATTTCTGAATTTACACTTAAGGAGGGCCTTCACCTTCTTGCTTAAACGGCGAACCTCATGTCCCTCGGCACTGTCGGCACGGGGAACTGGCCACCTGCAAGAGTTGATGAATGGAGAGACACACCAACAGCAAGCAAGAGCCGCAGCACGCACCGCCTGTCGAGGGGAGCAGCCGTAGTATCCCAATAGTAACGCCGAGTCCAGCTCACAGAGCGGCTAGAGAACCCTTGACCGCGCACAAGTTGAAAGCAAGTTTTGAGATGCCGGCAAGAGACCAAGCAACCAGCGTCGTGCACGCTTGAAAGAAGCCTCCAGACAACACCTCCCGCAATTTGCAGAGTAAGTTCACTTCCCGTGCGATGCTGGGGAAATTCGGCACTCTAAATGATGACCTGCGAGGGCCCAACCAATGTTTGATTGAACAGGTGACCAATGGCAACCATTAGAGGCGCCTTGGAACATGCTACCAAACCACTGTGCACCACGATGGTCAACATATAACATGCCCGTGTAGCAGTGGAAGACAAGTACCCAGATGTGGATGGCACCTGCCTGCAAAACAACAACATCACAACAGGGAGATGCTCACAGCAGCCTTTCGCTTGACTTGCGAAGTAGCCCGACAACGCTGCTGATAGTATGCCATGGATGGCGACCAGCCCCCGTGTGGCCCAGCAGCTTGAAAAAACACAAGATGCCAGCCACCGCAGGACTATTCGAGCACTTTGCTTCGGACTTCGCCAACCTCTCGCGCATGTAGGAAGACTACTCGTTCCGGGTGCCATAAGCATGGCGCGATGAGCCGCCGAGGCGCGACGTCGAGGCTGGTTGGAGCCAGAAGATATTCCCGTGCGCTTCTGCTGCCGGGGGAGGAGGAGGGGGAGGAGGAGGACGATGAGGGAGAAGAAGAAGGAGGAGGGAGGAGAAGGAGAAGGGAGTAGGAGGAGGAGGAGG